TATAAACATAAAACATTAGGCAGCATATAATTTATATACAAAGAAATAATCACGCATAGAATCAATCAGCAATATTAATGGTATTATTGGCGACATCCATTGCTAGTAGTGTATAATGTATGCATTAAAATACTGTTAATCCATAGAGTGACGTGATCCTCATTCATAAAACTGTTGTCTGTTGTTTCCAGTTTATATTTTTAGCGTTGCGTCTTTGCACGTTCCGATATTGTACACAACCGTCAATAATAGCACATACTAAAAAAAAACATCTTTCGGTCGACAAACAATTATCATCTTCAAGTTTTTGATTTTATAAGGAAAACATATGCCTGACGATGAATAAAGGATTATTCGAAAGTACTTGCATTTTAAAAAAATATAAACTGGAAACAACAGACATCAGTTTTATGAATGAGGATCACGTCACTCTATGGATTAACAGTATTTTAATGCATACATTATACACTACTAGCGATGGATGTCGCCAATAATAGCATTAATATTGCTGATTGATTCTATGTGTGATTATTTCTTTGTATATATATATATATATATATATATATATATATATATATATATATATATATATATATATATATATAACCTGCAGCCATCGTCGGAAGTCTGGTCTGTTAGGTCCATATTCAGTCTGTAAGTCAGCAGAGGATAAACCTAAGTGTCTGCAGGCACAGACACCGAATGTAATGAGCAATAGAACGAGAACAGCCTATCCCCGTAGATTGAATAAAGTGTTAAGTTCAGAATTCTCTGTAAGTTACCTAGATTGGTATACAACTGAGGAAGGCTGGAGGGCACAACGGCCGAAACGTTAGGATAACAATAACAAGGATGAGGATAATAGTCCGAATATAAATAGTGTAAATAATGAGTTATCATTATACAGAGAGACTATTGTCCTTATCTTTGTTGTTGTTATTTCGTTCGTTGTAAGTTCTGGTCTTCATCTATCTCTCTGATTTCACTGGTTTTCAAGAGGACTTTTCTGCAGATATTCTATTAGCATTCTATGGCTGGGTTGTTAAGACGTTAGCTTTCCGACTATGAGGCCCGGGTTCGAATCTCACCATGGTCGATTTGTCAGGTAGGTGACACCTTTATTTTAGGGTCCTCCCGATGGGATTTCAATGTGCGGTATTCGGGTTCGAATTTCACTATGGTCAGTTTGTTAGGAAGACGAATTCTTTATGTTACAGGCTTGGGGAATACGATTTCAGTGTGTGGCGCCCGGGTTCGAATCTCACCATGGTCAATTTGTCAGGAAGGTAACTTCTTTATGTTACGATTCTGCAGATGGCGATTTCAATGTGTAGCACACGAGTTCGAATCTCACCATACTCGATTTGTCAGGAAGGCGACTTCTTTATATTACGGGCCTGGTGAAAGCGATTCCAGTCTATGGTACCTGGGTTCGAATCTCACCATGTTCGATTTATCAGGAAGGCGACTTCTTTATATTACGGGCCTGGGAAAGGCCATTCCAGTGTATAGTAGCCGGGTTCGAATCTCAGCATACTCGATTTGTCATGAAGGTTACATCTTTATGTTACGCTCCTGGGGAAGGCGATTCCAGTGTGTGGTACCCAGGTTCGAATCTTACCATGGTCTTTTTACCAGGGAGGCAACTTCTTTATATTACGGGCCCGGAGAAGGTGATTCCAGTGAAAGCCAATCCACAGTTACACACAAGCCTTGTCAGTGACATTGGTAAACGGAAGGACCAGCAATGATTGTGCTAGCACGAAGTCACAATTCATCGTGCTCGAGGGTCTGAGCGTGCCGGCATTGTTCTGACTGGTGATGACGCCAGATAATGCGCTCTCTCCCAGAGACTGTAACTAAGGTCCGCACTGCTTGGTTATAGTTGGGCTTTATGTGTGCTAAACAACCGCAGGCGTCCCTGAGCAGGCTTTTACAACAGGAATTGGCTATCCGCCCTATGCAAACAGGCTTTCTCAGATATGAATTGCCTTCCATTATTTATTATATTAAATTTTGAACTTTTTTTTTAGTTTCCAACGCTGCAAAAAATAAATGAGAAAACGAAATTATACAATATATAACTAGCATCGGTGATCTTTTATTTATCAATAAAAAAAACTACTAAATTGTATACAAATTGGTACCTACAAAACTGGGAGTCCTCCTTCCGGAAAGGGTCTCGCCCTGATTCTTCCAGAGGGATTGGCAGAGGAGGAAAAGAGTTTTTTTTTCCCCCGTCCGAGTAGATGTTGCGGTTGTAGTATCTGTTCCGTTTGCGTTGTTCGCACCCATCGTTGCATAAAATCTGTTCCGCACCGGTGGTATGACAGGCTTAAACAAGCTTTGACCAGCTTAGACAAGCTTTGACCAGCTAAGATCAGCTTAGACAAGCTTGGACCAGCTAAGACCAGCTTAGTTTTGACAAGCTAAGACCATCTTAGACAAGCATTGATCAGCTAAGATCAGCTTAGACAAGCTTTGACCAGCTAAGATCAGCTGAGACAAGCTATGACCAGCTAAGATCAGCTGAGACAAGCTTTGACCAGCTAAGACCAGCTTAGACAAGCTTTCACCAGCTAAGACCATCTTAGGCAAACTTTGACCAGCTAAGATCAGCTTAGACAAGCTATGACCAGCTAAGATCAGCTGAGACAAGCATTGATCAGCTAAGATCAGCTTAGACAAGCTTTGACCAGCTAAGACCATCTTAGACTAACTTTGACCAGCTTAGAGAAGCTATGACCATCTAAGATCAGCTTAGACAAGCTTTGACCAGCTTAGACAAGTTTTGACCAGCTAAGACCAGCTTAGACAAACTATGACCAGATAAGATCAGCTTAGACAAGTTTTGACCAGCTAAGACCAGCTTAGACAAGCTTTGACCAGCTAAGATCAGCTTAGACAAGCTTTGCCCAGCTAAGACAAGCTAAGATCAGATAAGAACAGCTTAGACAAGCTTTGACCAACTTAGACAAGCTAAGACCAGCGACCCGAGTGGAAACACTCGGGTTCCAATGTTGAAAACCGATCTTACGTCACAAACTGACTGAATGGAGTGGTGGGGCGGGGCGGCGTCAAGGTAAATCTTGATTGCCTACAAAGCTGTACGAAAAGTTTCTGGAAAAATTTTATTTTGAATTTACATTTTTAAGTATAGGCTTATTCAATTAAAATTGTTCTGTAATAAATGAATATGTTTGAGATAGATAGATAGATAGATAGATAGAGAGAGAGAGAGAGAGAGAGAGAGAGAGAGAGAGAGAGAGAGAGAAAGAGTATAGGCTGATAAAAAAGGAATAAATTTTGTCAATATACCAACATTCCAAATGAAAGGAAGGAAGACAATCAAATAACGACTGGTGTCTTGAATGTTTGTTTCTATGAATGCCGGGAGCAGAATATTGAATGTTTCTTTGAAGTCGCCGCGATACCAAGTGGGTCTTTTGAGGCAAGTGAATCTAGCGACTTTTCCAGTTGACAGTACGTTTTTTTTTTATTTGTTTTCAGATTGTCTACTGGTTAAAAGACTTAGTCGTTCTGAAACCCAATTAGAACCATTTTATTGGTTAATTATTCTGCTTCAACAATCACGTTCTGCATTCTTCCCTACATCCACCGAGATCAAACCGGCTCAAGTGAAGCCAGTTTTCTTTTGCGTCTAGAAAACGAATGTTATCTTATTTTTACGGCTTTGATGTTTGATTGCATATTCTTTGTGACGTCTCCTGTTATTAGTCACTTGATGTGTGGGAAACATCAGTGTTTATTGCTTGCCTCCCATTTTAGCTTTGATGAAACCATTATACCAGTCGTGGAGCTATGAACGCTCAGGAGAGGAGGTGCAGTAAGTGTTCAGAGGTGTTATGGTGAGCGCTATAACTTTAACAGGATAGTAACATAAATTAACCTTTAGAACCTGACCGATAAATGTCACAAAACTTTCTATACGCGTGTCTTTATCATTTTACCGACATATTTACATTTTAAGACGCATTGCAACACTTAGATGCAATTGCAAAAAGGTGCAAGCGAATTTCTGCAGTCTGACCCGATGACCGTCGATTGTCTGTTTCCGGTACAGCTTACTTCTGGTGATTGGTGCTGCTCTAAGACAACAAAACATAAACACTTTAATACTGCTGCATTAACTATGCTCCAATTACCAGTGCAGTTTTCATATCCGAAAAGGGGCACTTGACTGTAATATGTATTGGCACGGGAAAGCCTGTCATGTGACTCTTAACAGCCAATCAGTGAAGCTCATGGTCTGGTCAAGAGTAGTTTGGAGGTAGACGTTGTTAAGAGAATTGCTTTCAGGACACCTGTGAAAAAAACTCAACTTGCAACAAGACGTGCTGGATTTTTAAGTAAAGACAAACTTTTTAATATTCGCCAGCTTTCCTTTTCAGTGTTAGGGAGAAGGTATATAACGCAATTTAATATCACGGTCTCTATCTATAAAATAAAACCTTAATTTACATTCTTCTGAATTCTCCTTAGCTTTTCTTTTTTTATAACGTTAGAGTAAGAGCCAATCAGTGAAGCTCTTCTCTGGACCAAGAGCAGTTTGGGGGTAGACAGTCTGAAGAGAAGATACTTCCTCGACACATGGAAAAAACACAACTTCTTACAACATGACGTGCTGGATTTGTAAAGAGAAACTTTTTAATATTCACTAGCTTTCCTTTTCAGAGTTGGAGAGAAGGCATAGAACACGCTTCGCTAGCATGCTCTCTTTCTATAAAATAAAACCATTTACGTTCTTCCGACTTCTCCTGAGCACCTCTTTCTTTTTATAATCTTAGGGTAAATATCTCAACCGATGTCAGGCACTATTAAGGCCGCTCACGCCCAACAGTTTATATTCATCCTGGACTGGTTCTTCTGAGTAAAACATGAAGGTACTTTCCTACGATCTGTCAAGGATATCTAAAAAACGGATCTATCTACAAGTTACGTGATATTTCCTTCTTTGGTATACGTTTCGAGTTACAGGAATGGCAGGTCTCTTCTTCCCATTATCGTTCTGTTTACACGGTATCTCCGTACCAGGTCTCTGCACCTCGGCCTTCTTTAATAACGTGGGCAGGGTTTACGATTTACTTGTATACCTAGAGTGAACCCTCGCCACCCATAAACACCTACCTGACTCTCCCATTCCTTAATCGCCGAGCTAATACAGGCAGCAACTTGTTTGAATAGCCATAATAATGAAATCGCTCAAATTAATGGTTCAGTTCGCATAAAAGCATTACGGACACTCAGATGAAGACGTTTTATGAGCAAGCGGAGACCCGATATGTGAACGGTAGTTAATTGCATTGGTGACAAAGCGGGTGAGTTTCTCGTGTCGAAAAGTTAACGGCGTTTCGCACGCCCTACCACCCGACCCCATCCGAAACCATCATCGACTCAGCGTTCGAGCCGACCTCGTCAGAAATTTCGGAAAGTCAACACCAGTTAAATTACCCAGACTCAAATCTATCGTATATCCCTCATTTCACCGCCACCTCCCCACTCTCTCTCGCTTACTTTCTCTCTCTCTCCCAATCTCTCTCTTCTCGCTTAATCTTTCTCTCTCTCTCTCTCTTATTCTATCATTCTCGCTTACTCTCACTCACCTACTCACTCTATCAATCAATCAATCACGCTCTCTCTTTTTCGCTTATTCTCTCCCTTCTTCACTCGTTCTCGCTTACTCTCTCAATCTCTCTTTCTCGTTTATTTCTCTCCCACTCACTCACTCTCTCTTTCTTTCTCTTATTCTTTCTCTCTCTCTCTCTTTCTCTCTTTCTCTTTCTCTCTCTCTCTCTTTCTCTCTCTCTCTCTCTCTTTCTGTGTCTTTCTCGTTTAAACCTTCCATTTCTTGCTTTCTCTCCCAGTTACTCTCTTCTTCGCTTACTCTCTCGCTAACTGGTTTAATCTCTCTCGTTCTCAGTCTTTCTCGCATAATCAGTCACCTTCTCTTTCTCGCCTAATCTCTCTCTCTCTCTCTCTCCCTCTCTCTCTCTCTCTATCGCATACTCTTTCTCTCTCACTGGCCCTTTCTGTCCTCTCTCTAAGACCAATTTATCCCGCAATATCAACTAGATTAAATGTGTCCCTACGTAGATAGATATCTTTATTGGACACAGCCGAGATTGACCCAAACATTTATAGGGGGTTTTATTGCTAGTCATCTCTCTGTCTTTATTTCCCTTCCTGGGAATATTTATCCGCTATTCTCAGTTTGTTCTTATTTATATATTAGATAGATAGATAGATAGATAGATAGATAGATATGAACAGGCTGAGATAGAAAAGCGAGATATGAACGGTGTGAGATAGCTGGATCTATCTATGTTAATCTATCTGCGTGCCTGTCTGTTCATTTCTCTCTTTTCTCTCTCTCTCTCTCTCTCTCTCTCTATATATATATATATATATATATATATATATATATATATGTCACAGCCTGCTCTTATCTATCTTTCTCTCTGTCTCAATGTGTCCATATTAATCTATTTCACCCCGTTTTTATCTATATATCTATCTTTCTGTCTCAGCCTGTTCATCTTTTCTCTCTCTCTCTCTCTCTCTCTCTCTCTCTCTCTCTGTATATATATATATATATATATATATATATATATATATATATATATATATATATGTTACAGCCTGTCTTTATCTATCTCTCTGCCTCAATGTTTTCATATCTATCTATCTGTCTATCTATCTATGCCAGTCTGTTTATATCTAGATAGCTATCCATGTCTGCCTCTCAAAGTCTATTCTTAAATATCTACAGGGTACTTGAATAAGTATATATCATTTTGATCAAAAGGGGTTCCGAACCCCTCCCCATACCCACCCCTGAAAAAATTTCACCTTTGATTTAAATTAAATTTAAATTTGAACAAAGGAATGACTCTTAGGTTACTTGGTGAAGTATATTTCATTTTGATCAAAGGGGTCTCCGGAGGACACAATCTCGCCCCATTTAAATTTCTTCCCTTTGATTGAAGTTAAGTTTAATTTTAAACAAGGGAATGACTGCTATCCAAAATATAGAGGGAGAAAGCCAGAAGATGGAGGTCACATTGGCAAGATCAAAATGAAACAATATAGACATCAAGTTGAGCAAGAAATCACCAATCAGTGGGTAGTGCCTTACAATGCATATTTGTGGTGACAATTCAACTCTCATATCATTGTTTAAATCTGTTCATCAATTCATTCAATCAATATTATATCAAATCCATATCAAAGGGTTTCAGATCAAGCTATTTTTGCACACACCCGCACTGATTTTTCCATTTGATTCAAATTTAAATTTGAATAAAGGGATGACTCCTATCCAAAATATAGAAGGAGAAAACCAGAAGATGGCGGTCACATTGGCAAGTAAGATTGAAATGCATCATTTTTCTCCACAAATTATAAGAATGAATTAAAATCATCATTTTCTTATAAAAAAACAATGTGTGACACGCAGCAAAGCGCGTGTAATTCGGCTAGTATTTAATGAAGACACCTGATAATGACCAGAAACTTAACTCTATTTACATTATTCAAACTATTGTCTTCATCTTTGTCGCCATATTTATTACAACGTTTCGACCGTTGTACGCTCCGGGCTTCTTCAGGTGGTAGGAATGTCGAACTGAACCCTTTATTTCACTCACTGGGGTAGACTGTTCTAGTCCCACGTGCCATGTTTAATGGATGTCAGTTATTAGTTATCTCCTGTTAATTCCCCTCTCCAAGTTCTCCACTGCCTTAACCGGGTATTGAACTCACACTCTTTGGGTCCGAATAATACCTCATCTCAGAAATATAGACAGAAACTTTACTGTTTAGATATTGATGGCGCTTTTTTATTCTAAATCTTTTTTCATCTCTCTGTCTCTTTCCATCTCGGCTTGTGGCCGTATCACGTTGAAATACGCGTCCATATGAAAGTCTTGATCTGACCAAGTTATTTACGAATAAAACTCGACTATTCAGCTTGATGTTTCAGCGGGGTTGGGTGAAACTAAATCTGGCAAAGATTATTTTAGGTTCAATTTCTTTCTTTCCTATCCTTATTTCGTCATACGGCTTACGACCGCGTCACATTGAAAAATCTTCCTGACAAATCGACCATGGTGAGATTCGAACCCGTATGCCACACACTGGAATCGCCTTCCCCTAGCCCGTAACACAAAGGAGTCACCTAACTGACAAATCGACCATGGTGAGATTTGAACCCGTGTTCCACACACTGCAATCGCCTTCCCATGGCCCGTAACATAAAGGAGTCACCTTCCAGGCAAATCGACCATGGTGAGATTCGAACCCGTGTGCTACACACTGGAATCGCCTTCCCATGGCCCGTAACAAATCGACCATGGTGAGATTCGAACCCGTACGATCGCTGAAGATAAGCAACTTCGAGCCTGGTCAATATCTAGATGGGTGACCGCTTGGGAATACCAGGTGCTGTAAGTTTGGATTTGAAGCTGTTTTAATTGAGAACGGTTAAGAATTGTTAATCAAGGAACAGAGTTCCAATTCTAATTGGGTTCGTTATATTTATTTACGCACAAATACAGTTGGGGAAACGTAAGAATCCACCTTTTCTTCTTTCAGCTATGGTTTAATTAGTAATACTTTTATGATTAAATCATTATCACCACACACCAAAAAATGTTTTTTTTTATAATCTAAAAATGTTTTCTGGTTTTAAATAACCTGCAAAGGGTTGATAAACCGTGAAAACGAATCGATCTTTCTATTTTTTTCTTGTCTCTGTTTTTTCCAAAAAACTTTCAATACTTTTGTCTTGATCTTTCCTTTTTCGTTTCCTTGATTTAATTTGTTCTTTCTTTCTTTCGCATACCATGTATTTCTGGCTCGATATTTTTTTTGTTATTGTTCTTTCTTTCTTTCTTTCTTTCTTTTCTTTCTTTCTTTTCATTATCCCATCTTTCCTTATGTCTGTTTTTTATCTCCCTCTTAAATTTTCATTTTTTCTTTCTTTTTCCTCTCTTTTTACTTTCTCTCACTCTCTTTGTTTTTCGATCTTTCTCTTGTTTTATATTTTTTCTTTCTTTCTTTCTTTCTTTCTTTCTTTCTATTTCTCTCTTAAAGTTTATCTTCATTTCTTTCCTTCCTCCCTTTATCTTCTTTTCTATCACTCTCTATGAATTTCTATCGTTGTGCTTTTTTTCTTTCTTTCGTTAGATCTTTTTTTCTATTTTCTTCTTGAGTTTTTATTTTTATTTCTGTTTTTCTTTTCATTTTCTTTTGACTCCTTTTCGCCATCTTGTTGCCTTTGTCTGATTTTGTCTCTCCTTTTTTTTTTTTTTCTTTGCTTTTTTCTTTTGTTATATCTTTCTTTTTACTTCCCTCTAAAATTCTCACTTCATTACTTTCTGTCCTTTCTCTCACTCTCTTTGGGTTTTTTTTCCATTTTACTTTATTTTGTTACTTTTTAATTCACTCTTTCTTCTTTTCATTCTTTCTTTCTTTCGTTCTTTCTTAAATTTTCTTTTCGTTTTTTCATTTCACTTTTTCTTTTCTTTTTCTCATTTTATTTGTCTTTCTACATTTGTCTTTTACATTTTTCTTTCTTTCCGTCTTTCTTTCTTCTTTCTTTTTTCTTTCTTTCTTTCTTTCTTTTCATTTTTTCTGTTTCCCTGTAAATGTCTCTCTTTTCCTTTCTTTCTTCCTCTTAACCCTCTTGTTTTTTTAGATTTTTTTTTCTATTTCGTCATTTTATTTTATTTTTGTACTTGCCTCTTAAATTGTCTATGCATCTCTTTCTTTCCTTTCTCTCTTTTTCTTTTAGACTCTCAGCCTTTTTGCCTTTTCCTCTGTGTTTTCTTTTATTTTCTCTCTCATTATTTCTTTCTTTCTTTCTTTCTTTCTTTCTTTCTTTCTTTCTTTGCATGCTCCTTTCTTTCGTCATATCTTTATGTCTATTTTCTTTTCTCTTCTTTACTTTGATTTCTCTCGTTTTCCGTATATTCTATCCTTGTCTATCCTATTTTTTCCTTTCTTTCTTTCTTTCTTTCTATTTTGTTTTTCTTCTTTCTTTCTCTCTCTCTCTCTCACACACACACACACCCTCTATCTATCTATCTATCTCTTTCTGGTTTTTCTTTCTTTCTCTTTTTCTTATTTGTCTTTCTTTGTCTTATTTCAAGTTTCTTTTTTTTTTCATTTCTTTCTTTCACATTCTGTGTCTATCTTTTTGCCTTATTACCTGTCTCCTTTTATCTCTTTCTGTCAGTATTTTATTTTATTTTCTCTCTTTTTTGTTTTTTTTTATTTGCATGTTTCTTTCTTTCTTTCTTTTTTTCTTTCTTTCTTTTTTTCTTTCTTTCTTTCTTTCTTTCTTCCCTTTCCTCTTTCTTTCTTTCTTTCCCCCCTTTTCTTTTCATTCTTTTTTTTCTTTCTTTTTTCTTTCTTTCTTTCTTTCTTTCTTCCCCACCACTTCTTTCTTTCTTTCTTTCCCCACTTTTTTTTTTCTTTCTTTCTTTCTTTCTTTCTTTCTTTCTTTCTTTCTTTCTTTCTTTCTTTCTTTCTTCCCGCCACTTTTTCTTTCTTTCTTTCCCCACATTTCTTTCTTTCTTTCTTTCTTTCTTTCTTTCTTTCTTTTTCTTTCTTTCTTTCTTTCTTTCTCCCCTCTTTTCTTTCTTTCTTTCCCCCATTTTCTTTCTTTCTTTCTTTTTTTCTTTCTTCCCGCCACTCTTTCTTTCTTTCTTTCCCCACATTTTTCTTTCTTTCTTTCTTTCTTTCTTTCTTTCTTTCTTTCTTTCTTTCTTCCCGCCACTCTTTCTTTCTTTCCCCCACTTTTTTTCTTTCTTTCTTTCTTTCTTTCTTTCTTTCTTTCTTTCTTTCCGCCACTCTTTCTTTCCCCCACTTTTTCTTTCTTTCTTTCTTTCTTTCTTTCTTTCTTTCTTTCTTCCATCCACTCTTTTCTTTCTTTCTTTTCCCCACTTTTTTTCTTTCTTTCTTTCTTTCTTTCTTTCTTTCTTTCTTTCTTTCTTTCTTTCTTTCTTCCCGCCACTCTTTCTTTCTTACTTTCCCCCCCTTTTTTTTCTTTCTTTCTTTCTTTCTTTCTTTCTTTCTTTCTTCCCTCCCTCTTTCTTTCTTTCTTTCCCCCACTTTTCTTTCTTTCTTTCTTTCTTTTCTTTCTTTCTTTCTTCCCGCCACTCCTTCTTTCTTTCTTTTTTCCCCCTTTTTCTTTCTTTCTTTCTTTCTTTCTTTCTTTCTTTCTTCCCGACCTCTTTCTTTCTTTCTTTCCCCCCTTTTTCTTTTTACTTTCTTTCTTTCTTTCTTTCTTTCTTTCTTTCTTCCCGCCACTCTTTCTTTCTTTCTTTCCCCACTTTTTTCTTTCTTTCTTTCTTTCTTTCTTCCCGCCACTCTTTCTTTCTTACTTTCCCCCACTTTTTTTTTTTCTTTCTTTCTTTCTTTCTTTCTTTCTTTCTTTCTTTCTTTCTTTCTTTCTTTCTTTCCGCCACTCTTTCTTTCTTTCTTTCCCCCACTTTTTCTTTCTTTCTTTCATTCTTTCTTTCTTTCTTTCTTTCTTTCTTCCCGCCACTCTTTCTTTCTTTCTTTCCCCCACTTTTTCTTTCTTTCTTTCTTTCTTTCTTTCTTTCTTTCTTTCTTCCCCCCACTCTTTCTTTCTTTCTTTCCCCCACTTTTTTTTCTTTCTTTCATTCTTTCTTTCTTTCTTTCTTTCTTTCTTCCCGCCACTTTCTTTCTTTCTTTCTTTCCCCCACTTTTTTTCTTTCTTTCTTTCTTTTTTTCTTTCTTTCTTTCTTCCCGCCACTCTTTCTTTCTTTCTTTCCCCTTTTTCTTTTCTTTTTTCTTTCTTTCTTTCTTTCTTTCTTTCTTTCTTTCTTTCTTTCTTCCCGCCACTCTTTCTTTCTTTCTTTCCCCCACTTTTTCTTTCTTTCTTTCTTTCTTTCTTTCTTTCTTTCTTCCCGCCACTCTTTCTTTCTTTCTTTCCCCCACTTTTTCTTTCTTTCTTTCTTTCTTTCTTTCTTTCTTTCTTTCTTTCTTTCTTCCCGCCACTCTTTCTTTCTTTCTTTCCCCCACTTTTTCTTTCTTTCTTTCTTTCTTTCTTTCTTTCTTCCCGCCACTCTTTCTTTCTTTCTTTCCCCCACTTTTTCTTTCTTTCTTTCTTTCTTTCTTTCTTTCTTTCTTTCTTTCTTCCCGCCACTCTTTCTTTCTTTCTTTCTCCCACTTTTTCTTTCTTTCTTTCTTTCTTTCTCTCTTTCTATTTCCTTTTCTTTTCTTTATTTTGATTTCTTTCGTTTTCCTTATCTATCTTTGTCCTGTTCTTTCTTTCTTTCTATTCACTTTTCTCTTCTCTTTTCTTTCTCTCAATTTCTGTGTGCATCTTTTTTTACGTATGTCGATTTTATTCATTTTTTTTTAATTTACACTTTTCTTTTTTTCTTTTTTTTTTCTTTTTTTCTTTTTCTATTGCTTACCTTGTCTTTCTTTGTCTCTTTCTGTCTTTCTTTTCCTTATTTCTCTTTTAATTTATACTTTTCCTTCTGTTTTTCTTTCTTTCTTTTTCTATCACTTATTCTGTCTTTCTTTTTCTTATTTTAACCTTCTTTCTTTCTCTAATTTCTTTCTCTGTTTTTCTGTGTTCATCTTTTTCTCTTTTTACGTCTCTCTATTTTACTTTTTTTTTCTTTTTTAATTCATACTTTTCATTCTGTTTTTCTTTCTTTCTTTTTCTATCTCTTTCCTTGTCTTTCTTTGTCATATTTTAATCTCCTTTCAACTGATAATTCTAGTTTTTCCTCCGTTCTATCCTTTTCTTTTTTTAATACCATATCTTTTTTTTTTTTTGAACATGTCGTCCATCACTTTTTTCCCAATCTCCCTCCCACCCTTTTGCATAATGAATTCCTTTGCTTTCTCTTTTTCCTTGCCCCGGTACCGCAGCCATTACACTGGAAACGGACATCCAACCCCGATCTACCAACGCGCCAACCAATCCACCCACACTTTGCCGCCCCCTGAGCTCCGTCCGCCCGAATCCTATCCAGACATCGAAATCCGATCGGAAGAGATCGATCGACATTACGGGTCATCTTTAACACTTTGTCACGTTCCGAGGGACATTGGCTTCGTTAGCGGGGGCAACGAACGGGACACTTGAAATATAAGTGCTTCCTAACGACCACGCTTGTCGTTATGATTTCAAAATCGGCAATAAAAACAATGGAAAAATCTCGCGCCACTTTCTTTCGACGTGATCTCCGTCGGGAATTATCAACCGGAAACAGTAAGCTAACTATTTATGTCCGACATTTACCATTTCCTGTCTAAGGGAACTGGCCGCCTAATGAAGTACGACATGAGATGCCCGGCGTATTTGATTATTAAAGCCACTCTGTTTGATGTTTAATGAATTGTACTATGCTTTTCAATTTAGGATTGCTAAATATATGTTATATTACGTGTTAAGGGAATAA